TCAATCCCGTCCCATCGTGAGTCATGTAGTGACCGCAGCATACCTCTATCGTATCTCAAACTTTTTGGATATTTGACATCACTGAACTGACCGTTCGTTGTCAGTATTAGATGACGTCATCGCCTATCTTACTAATATTATAAATGCGATAGTTTAGTTAGATGGATGAATGTTTGTTTGAAGATATCTCCGGAACGGCTCAACAGATCTTAACGAAATTTGGCACAGATGTAGAACATAGTCTGGAAGAACACATAGGCTGCTAATTAAGTTTTTTTTTATTCACACAGCTCGTATTTGTCTGTCTTTCATTAAAATCTATCGGCATAGTATAGACAACCCTAAATTTTGAATAACCGAGAGACGCTGCGCTTTAAAATAAATCATAAATTATGAAGTTATGACGATTTTATTTAGCTTCCTAGTATAGTAACTTATTTATATTTTAAGTAGTTTTATTCTTATGTTAATTTGCATAAAAGGTAAGTAAATAAAAAAACTGTTAAAAATACAGAATAAAGTCGCGGGTATCAGCTTGTTTTATACTAATACACTTATCTAAACCATCGTTTGTATGTCATGTTTAAATAGCACATTACGTCTTGTTTATTTTGGTGTTGAAAAATGCGTAAAAAAGTGGAACATGTTCATAGCAACAATGTTTCGTAAGGTGATTCAGGTCAAGTCACCCCTCCCATAAATGTTTGATATTGTCTGTATGTTTGATATCTAGGGTTGTCACCAGTTTGGGTATGAGTCTGTTCATCTGTTAGAGAATTTAAAAACAATGAGATATATATAAAATTAGAGCGTCGATGCCTCAGGGGTTTAAGCACCTGAATTGCAATCTGCAGGTCCTGGGTTCGAATCCCGCCACGTACCAATGTGTTTTTTCTATTTTCGATTTACGTATGTACATTAATCCGATTTTCTTACGGTGAAGGAAAACATCATGATGCAACCTGCATATATCTGAGAAGAAAATCAAAGATGTGTGAAGTTAACCAACCCGCGTTGTGGTTGACTATGGCCTAGTAACTCCTAACTTAGGGTAGGCTCCGAGCTCCTCGGTGTGGCCGTATGATGAGAAAAAAAAGCTTTGCGAGTCCTCCTAAAGCATTGCTTTATTTTTAAGTCTCATCGTCCTATATAAGTTGACAGCCCTAGGTGTTACTCGGTGTCTTATCATGGATAAATATTTGTACGAAATCGATTTTAGGATACTATTGAATCTATGTTTAAATTCTGATAAACGGTACGTATGATTATAATTAGTAGTCATTTCTAGTTACTGTAAATTGTGTCATGTTTATTACACGTGTCTATTGTATAGTTTTGTCGTGAATTTCCACTGCCAAAATAGCTGTATAAAAACATATTGTCCTTGAAAAATAATCCAACAGTTATTAGTTAAACCTATGCCAGTTGACAAAAGAATCAAAAATTAGCGGCCAGCTATTTTTAAATTAAATTTTAAAATAATACGTCCGGCCGCTAATATGTCCGCGCGTATTAAAAAAAACGTAATAAGTAGCCTATGTGTTCTTCCAGACTATGTTTTACATCTATGCCAAATTTCAGCGAGATCCGTTCAACCGTTCCGGAGATACCTTCTAACATCCATCTTTTTTTATATCATAAAGTGGCAAACGAGCGAGCGGCCACTTGAAATCGATGAAACAGCGAAGTGTCGCCCATAGACATACGCAATTGCATGCGTTATCTACCTTTAATCGACGGAGGAGAGGATGCACAGAAATAAAATATTTTACCTTCCCATGCATCCTCTCATCCGGAAAGTCCACTTCCACTTCCCATCCTTTCCTTATATGAAAAAAGGTGGGAAGGGAAAGAGGACTAAATTAGGCCTCCGGGACGCAAAATCTAAACTTTTGCATTTACAATATTATTAAGAATTAAGATAAATACTCCATTAAAATTAAAAAAAAATACACTTTTCACACCAAACGTAATATAAAAAAGGAATTAATTAATTATTTATACATTTATATTAAATAAAAAGTTAAGTTGCAATATGCAAATAAGTTATACTGTTTCTTAATATATTATTTAAGATAAGAATCTAAATGCACTAACGTAAGTTATTCGACAATAAAATGTCAATTTATTTATTCTTATACAGTGCAAAGTTCATTGACCTATCTAATACAGATGTCACTCGGTACATCTGAATTTGCTTCAACAGAACTGGTTACAATTGCAAAACCCGTCACACTGTAATTACTAATAAGAAATCAAATACCATTAAGTTGAATAACCTTTCTAAATAGTTTATTAACCTAAACAATTTTTTCATTTATTTTTAGGGTTCCGTACCTCGAAAGGAAAAAACGGAAGCCTTATAGGATCACTTTGATGTCCGTCCGTCTGTCAAGACCCTTTTTCTTAAAAACGAGTAAGGTAAGCTAGAATTTATATCAAGTACTCAGGTCTGCGGTCCCTTGATGCTATGAAAATTCTAAAGCAACGCAATCAAAGGATCCAACCGTTTATGTCGCAATTTTTTTGTATTTTAAGTTAGCAAAGATTTACAAAGCGACCACTATCCATAGACATACGCATATATGCGTTGTCTATCTTTAATCGACAGATTAGAAGACGCGTACGCGTCCCATCTTTCGACAAATCCACTTCCCCATATAAGAATAGGGTGGGAAGGAAAATCACACTAAAATTAGGCCTCCGACGGAATTGCTTTCACTTGTCGCCTGCCTTCTCAGTAATCATGTGATTGCACCGGACGAAATAACTTACGCTAATCGACCACTGTTACTAAGGTAAACGACATCGGATTGTAACTATACCTTAATCCAATTCAAACACTAATATTTTACCTATAGCCAAGACATTTTAGGCTAAAACCTGCTAAAACTCGTAAATACAAGAACTAAACAATTGACGATCGTTCTATAATTTTTTGCCTTTCTTACTTTACAATTTCAAGTATCAAACAGTTTAAATTATACTATGTAGTACCAAGGCAATATAAATCAGAGTATGTACTCAACTCTCTTCTATCATAAGAAACAGTTATGTCAGTAATAATGCTGGCAATGATTCATGGCCCTTTTTTGTTTTGTTTTTCTCCTTGCTTTATTACGATAAACATCTAACGTCTGTAGGGTGACCAAGTATATTGTAAGGAATTTTTTGGTTAAAAAATATATTTACGTCTTTATTTTTCAACGTCAGATATATAAAATTCTCGTCTTATATATAAAATTCTCGTGACACAATTTTCGTTCCCATATTTCTCCGAAACGGCTTGACCGATTCTCATAAAATTTGTGAGCATATTGAGTATGTCTGAGAATCGGCCAACATCTATTTTCATTCCCGCGCGAACGAAGTCGCGGGCGACAGCTAGTTGAAATATAAATTCAGAAGATCTTAATTAAAAATATCTTGTAGTATATTTTTTCGCGCTTAGTGTACCTAGTATAGAATTTTTTAAATATTTTAGACTTCAAGATAAGTTATAATTTTTTTCAGGATTCTTGATATATCGCACGGTTAAACCTTAAATTAATCCACAATATAAAGGGGTGTTAAATACAAAAATCAGGTCAAATAAAAAACACATGGTCACCCTATGATAGTACAGTCAATACAAAGTTACACATGCATTCAATCAAGTACAAAATACTCCTTATTGCGAAAGAATAAGGTTGTGAGTAACATCATTTAATTACAACCAAAGTTTATAAAAGAGATAGCTCGGGCTTAGAGGTGGAACAAAAAATATGATGGTGTTGGACCATAGATGACGTAACCGGGCGATGACCTTAAACACCATCGAACTTTTAAAAAGTTATAGGCTGAATACAAAACATCCGATCAAAGCTTATAGGAAATTTCGGAAGTCATTTTCCGTTTTGTGTTAATATTTTAATTATTAATACTATTAATTTTGCAGGGAAGAAATTTATTTAGACGGGAGATATAGGAGACATCATCAAAACAACTTAACGTAACTCGAAGAAATTTAACACAGATGTAGATCATAGTTTGGAAGAACACATAGGCTGCTAACTACGTGCTAAAATTACATATTGCAAATTTTATAAGCAATTTCCAGGTTTAAAATCTTAATTTAGTAAATTGTTATTTTCAATCGATATATCACTGTTTAGATGGCACTGGCATGCAAAAATCTTTTTATAGTAACATTTTAGAAGAATAGCATTTATTCTTTTTCTAAATTTGTTATTTTGGACATGTTTCGTTGCCTAATATGGTTAAAGTCGTTTACCAATGTAATCAATGTTCAATAGCTATAACGCCGATCACGCCCCTTGCTCGCCATTGTACTCAATAAATTTAATGAATCGCTTATTGTTGATCTGTCTTCCTACAGATAATATATTACTATAGCTTCCGTTAAAATATCCGAATAGTTGATGATACTTTTCGGTTACAATATCCGATCGCAATAATAAAAAATATCCAAACAAGACTCTAGTAGTAAAATATACGAATAAAGGTGATTGGTAATAAATGCTATAAATATTATATTTTTGTTTATCGTACGAATTTTTTATATCCCACATTCAGTTCATCAAAGGTCAAGCGTGAAGAAATGCATGTATCTAATTAGGATCTTGTTTTTGGTAAGATGTAAAAATTTTATGACACAACTGTTATGTTTTTTTATCACATTTAATTTTATTAAAACTTTTCCATAATTATCGAATAGGTGAGTATTATAAACTAGTGGATATTTATTTATTAATTTTCTTATCAGAATGGATTCCATCCGAAAACCGCGTGAGGACTAGAGCATATTGTCATCAATTAGGGCATTAAACACTGATCGAATAAATCATTGAATTTTCTTACTTATTCCGAAAAAACTGTACCCTATTTTTTTACAAGAGTCTACAGTTCGTATCAAAATGGGAATAATAAAAGTAAATAGAATTCACCTACTTTTTCTTTTAGTAAATAATATCTTTTGGAGTATTGGTTCTGGTACTAACCTGTCATCTGCAGCTGCCTCCTGGAGGCGGGCGTGCGTGGGGTGCGCGGCGTGCGGGGCGTGCGTGGGGCACGCGGGGTGCGCGGCGTGCGGGGCGAGCGCGGCGAGCTACCAGCACTGCCGCCGCTACGCCTCGACGGCGACCCCAACATCCTCAGCTCCGTGTTTCCCACGCAGGACAGCGCCTCCGCACCCGTTCTCGGACTCTCTTTATCCTCATCTATAAACTTCACAGGCGAATCTAATTTGGCAGCCTTGTACGCGCACTCAGTCTCGACATCGAAATTGAATCTTCTAATGAAACGCTTTCGTTCCCGCGCATACTGCTCCGCCATGAGGCGCCGCGTCTCGTCCCTGTCCGGCGCTCCGAACAGACATTTGCAGCTCCCGCGCCTTCTCCTCGAGGAGTTCACATCGCGCAGACCCATCCCCGAAGACATCTCGATCCTCCTCTGCTTCGGTGTGCGACCTCCGGCTGCCATGGTATCCGTGTAATAGGTCAGGTGAGCGACGACTGGTTCGCGAGAAACATCTGACTAATCTCCCGAGAGAAAACAGCTGTTGTGCAGGTACGGAGGGAGAGAGAAGCGGCGCTGCGTTAGAGCGGGGGCGGCAATAGCACCTGGCGGCGAAACCCCGCCAATTCTAACCTATAAGGTACGGCGCGGCGTGGCGTGCGCGCGCAACTAACAACTGCGGCCGACTGACGCTTCGTTCGTTTCCCGCGCATCGCCGCGTGCGACGATTTCGGCACTCACTTGGCGCGCAAAAATCAACAATGGAGCCAAGGACGCTTTTTTATACGTCTCGGGATACAGGTGAAGTTACGAAAGGGGACGCAGAAATTGTTACCTTTCAATGACATACCATAAACGTCGTTTGTACGAAACAAGTGACATAAATAGAATACAGACTTCACCTTTCTATCTTTTGTTGGGAACATGAATTAGAACTGTGACGTTACGAGATACTGTAGTACTTATTATTATTACAAAACGAATCATTTGCTTACAAGTCTTATCGGTCTTGATGTTACCGTTTAGATTTGTCATAATTTTTATTATAATTACGTAACTCTTAAAACTTGTTCGTAATTTGTAACCTAATTGATAAACATGACCTCTAAAATAGCGCGAAATGTTTGATAAAGCTTTATTGGTGAATCAATTCCTGACAGTGCGCAGCCGTTGGCAACAATTTAGCTCAGCTTTATTGATTTAATCTAGTCAATCACACGATACATTTTTTATCAAGACAACCTATTGCTTTTGCACACAAAAATTGCAATGCATTTAGCTTTATATAATACTGAAATAACTACACGTAATTAATTGTCTCTAGGCCTAGAATAAAAATGTGCCCAGAAACACATCACGTGACGCGTGACGTCACGAAAGACCGTAGACAATGCCCTTTACCAGACTTGCCCTTAATTCACATTCAAGTGTTTCAACTTTAAATATAGAATTACTTTTAATAATAAACTGTTCGAGTGTGCTTGTAGTATGATTCTTAGCTTGGGAAAATATTTGGGAGAATAAATAATTTCTTTCTTCTGAATAACGTATTTATATTGACACTTTGAATTCAATCGAATTCTAATTTCATTAGTCACAAAATTAATATTTTTTCCAATTTAAATGACTAAAAATTTTCGCGAATCAAAATTTTGATTTACAAAAATGTGCGTTGGAATTTTCATGACCCATTATCTTATGATAAGAACCAAAAACCATGATAAGATTGTTGAATACTTCAAAATTAAATACCGTGCTTCCATCATCCAATACTTTTTTTTTATATTTTTTAACACACACCTACGCGTTGGCCATCATTATTATGAGACGACAAAGGAGGTTATACTATTCAAAATTAAATCTAAAATATCTTTTTTAATGTATCCTTGTTGCAGATTACTGGTTTAAAGGTTGACTGCTTTCTCAATATTTACTCAGTTAAATGGCATACTTGTAGACATATCAGGAATTTGCTTAAACCAGTACTTTACGTTCGTCACTAATTGCCCGAGATTTCGTCCCCGTGGAGTAATAAAAAATATTTATGGGGTTACGAAGTTAATTTCCATGTCTTTACTACACTCACTTAAATGAGTTTAAATATGAATAACAAAAATAACTCTATCTGACGAAAGCCATTTTTTTCCTATGCGTTATACCAAACTTAATCATGTCTTTGTTCCAATTTCAATCCATTTAGTCATTTAAGACTCTTTTTAATATTACAAACGCCCATGTTTAGACAGATGGATGGATGTTTGTTCGAAGTTATCTTCAGAATCCAACAGATCTTGGTAAAAGACATAGGCGTAGAACATCGACGTTTTTTTTGTAATTCCGCGCAAAAGTATGTACGGGGTATTTCGACGGTAATTCCAAATATTACATCGTCACCCATATACCATCAGTTCAACGACCTTTTATGCATCTTTAATTTAAAAAGTCAAACTATCACTTACCATAGTAACATTTTATGCAGTATTGTAACCTAGCAGATTACAAGCGGAAAATAACCAGTAGCACTTAGGTCTCAACAACGGGACCTAGACGGACTAACACTGAATTGATATTACAGATCCAAAACACGTTTTCTTTACTACCTATTGTGTTACAACACGCCTTGAATATGTTGTAAAATGTACCAGCTTCATATAATTGATACTTAAGTGTTACTTTGTAACATGCTCTCCTAAATGTGTACGCGAATACCCTTTTGAAATATGTTTTGTGAAATTACTTGACTGATAAGGAACTTTTTTTATAGGATACTAGCTGTCAGGGACTCCGTCCACGCGGAATTAAAAATAGATGTCGGCCGATTTTCAGATCTACTCAATATGATCACATAATTTCATGAGAATCGGTCAAGCCGTTTCGGAGGAGTATGGGAACGAAAATTGTGACATAAGAATTTTATGTATAAGATGTCATCATCATCATCATCATCAGCTCAGTATACGTCCCCACCGAGAGGCTCGGAGCCTACCCTAAGTTAAGAGTGATATAAGATGTATTTGAGTGCTATTTTGACTTAATGTCATTTAAACGACTTGGCTGATTTTAAAAAACTTTAAGATCTGTACGAGCTCTAGCCCGCGATTCAATTCTCGCGGAATTATAAAAAAACATATTAAATGTTCCCATGTGTTCTTACAGACTATGAACTATATATTCCAAATTTAATTTTGATCCCTTCCGCCCTTTGGAGATACCTTCAAACATCCATCCATCTAAACGTTCGCATTTATATTAGTAAGAAGTAAGATTACTTCAAAAGTTTCACACTGTTTAGTTAAACACGTGTTTTAACACTGACCGCCATCTTTGACGTCAATTTTTTTGTGGCAGAGTTGTTAAAGTTGCTTCTACATGTATTGGTTCTTGATAATTTATTGCGCAATCGTTGATTTTCACAGCTTTGTTAAGGCGTAATTATGATCTGGTTGTACTGTCGTGTAAATAAGTGTTAAATTTTTATTATGAATAAAACAAATGAAACTTTAAAGTTGAAATATAAAAGGGAATAGAGAAAAGGCGGGAATTATACAACCTGTTTAGACAAACATTGTAATTTAGCACGATCTTTTACTGGAAAGACATAGTTACATTTATGATAGTGAAAGTTCAGATCAAATTGTTTAAATAATACTGTTAGAAAATTGGTGAATATAACTTTAAAATTATTTTTTTCAAAATTAAATCATTGTTGAATCTAAATGTACAAATAGCGTTTGTCTGTCTAGTTCAATATTGGCATTGCAATGATTTTGTGTCTTTGGCAAAGAGTACGTTATATTACAGACGTATTTTATTACAAATTATAGTATACTAGCTTTAGCTCGCGACTCCATCCGCGTGAATTAAAAAAAACCAGACCATATTCTACATCTATGACAAATATCAACAGTGACCTGACGCAAGCCGAAGACAGGACGGCGTGGAGGCAGCTGGTCGACACAGCCGTTAAATCATATCCAGAAGAAGAATGAAAAATTTCAGGCGGGATCCGTTTTACTGTTCTGAAGATACCTTCTAACCACCCGTCCATCCATACACCGAACCATTCTCATTTATATTAGTCAAGGTCAAAGGAACAGTGAATTAATCGTGAACACTAATAAAATTAATTTCTTACCAACATTTTAGAATGCCCGTGACCTAATACGTCTAGTGTTGAAGAGTAATAAAACCTATTTGTTTGAATAAATATTGTCCATACAATTGAAATTCGACTTTATAACTGAAAACATAAAAGTACAAAATAGACTACAAGTTTGGAAAATCTATTAGTTCTTGTCTAGACTTGTCTAATTGAATCTAACCTTTTGTCTAAAAAAAATGAGATGATGCAATTTTTGATGCTAACTTTAAATAAACGGTTTTTAACGGCAACAAAAATTTTGAGGTTAAGTAACAAAATGTCAATAAAAACAATTGTAAGATTAAACCAAATAAATATAACTTTTCATTATAGATGACGTAGCTATTATTAAAAATAATATCACAATATTTACAATAACCCTATATTTACTAAAAGTAAATTAGCTATCAATACGTTACCGTATGTTATGAAATTAATTTCATACAAAACGATAATTTCGACCCTTCGGTAAGTATCGGAAATCATTATTGGCCAAAAATTATTAATTGAAAAATGCAAACCAATACTTCGAGTTTATTCGCCGTGAAATTGGACCCTGGGGTCCACGGTGAGCAATCTGTTTGGCACAGTATGGTATTTTTTAATGATTTACGCAGGCACAGAACAATGTAAAATGATACGTTTCCCGCCTTTTGAGGTTTTTGTGTCATAACGGGTACGGGACAAGGCACGCGATTGTATTCAGCCACCACTTTTTTTAATGTAACATATCAACTTTTTTTTTACTTTTAATAATTTATGGATTGAGATTTCAATGTTAATTTAATGTCATGAAATGAGAATTTTACAGCAAGATTTATAATGAAACCGCTAAGTTTTGTGCCAAGACTAAGTTTTTAAAAATTGCTAAAGGTGTGTTTTGTTGCCACCATTTTTATAAAACAAGTATGTTTCATCATACTTGCGATGTAACCGTACTATTAAAGAAATTTTTAGTTTCGTAAATTATAAGGCAAAGGTGTTTTTATTGCGGACACTTCGATAAAACACCTTTGCCTTTTATTTTTACGTCAAGAGGTCATTGACACGAAAGTATTGACGTCTTTTCTTTATACTCCTTTAAAATTATATGTAAAAAAAACGCAGAAAGAAATAACTACTAGTGAACTTATTAATATGTTTTTTTTTAAATATTTTATTGGACTTTCCTGATTTCAGCTTGTTAACTGTGATTTACAATTACCGTGACATTTATGTTTACAACAAATTGCTGTATATGTTTTTATACAAGTATTTTGCCAGTGGAAACCTGTGGATATTTGTGTCATTTGATGTTTAATAATAAAATACATAGGTTTATTAGCTCTAGTGTATCATTGCAAAAACACCTGCGTTTTCGAAGGTCGTCAATGTGAAGCCTGTGCGAAATCTTTCCCATTCATCTCGCGGAAGCAACGGCGGTAAGATGGCGGAAACGCTCACAATGAGCACTTACGGCGCTGGCTTCCGGTACAGTCGCAAACACAAGTAAACACAAGTTAAAAAGTTTTTACGTTACTTTTAAAAGATATTATAAAATAAGTTACTAAACTTTTTTACATAACAAAATTGTTAATTTATGTTTCCTGTCTGTCTATTCTATGAATCGTGACTTCGTAATTAATATTCTAGATAAAAAAAAACCCTTCCTATTTTTACTTAAATATATTTTATTGACTTCGACTATTCTTACAACTCGTGAGAATTTTAATTTAATTTTTTCTGAAGTTTGTATGCCATTATTGAAAATCCAAATACTATTGTTATTAACATGTCTAAACATTTTCATTAAGATAAATTTTATTTCATAAAATAAAC